TATGTAGCATACCCTTAATAGTTCCCCCCTTCTTGGTATACTCGGTACAAGTGGCCGACAACTTCTCTAGCTTGCTGCTGGCAAACTGTTACAAAGGGTGTCAGTGAGCTGGACGAATGAATCGATGGATTCGTTCGGGGTTCGTGTACCATGGAGCGCCAGGCCGGACAAACTAGAATCAAAACTTTTGCACATGCAGGCTTCTAAGCGGTCGGGGTATGGAGACAGTGAACATCCACTGCTTGTATGAGGCTATTGGTCACCGGGTCAGTGGTACCGTCATATGGTTTCATGTTGGGGATAGTGAATTTCTGGGGCATGTCAGCCTGGGCAATCTCATCCACAAAGGGTGAATCGCGCGTAGCAATTCGGTCTGCTCTTCTTGGTTGGGATTGGCATTCCTGGGATGCGCCTCATTACTGCCTCAACGTCGGCCAGTCTCTTGGCAGTAACTGTTCCACAGGGGAAGGGGATACTATCGGGTCATCCCGTCTACCGGGTCTGGTACATTCTGTTGGGTCATCCCTCGGGGGGTAGTCTGATAAATCAGTCTGCGTGCGCTCCTTGGTAGCATGTGTCTTCGTTGATCCCTTTGGTGGATGACTCCCATTGTCAAGTTCTATGTTTCTTCCCTACAGAATGGTCAGGGGAGTTGTCTGGTAGTCGTTCGGTCCTTCAGGATGGATGGGCTCAAGTGCGGAGTTGGTTTGGTTGGCCGCAACCTGCGAGGGTGAGCCGAGCCGGAGGGGGTGTGTTTGGGTTGACTTAAGGTGAACTGGTATGGGGGGATGGTTGATCCTGCGAGTTCTCTATTGCTGGTCGTTTTGTCATGAGGCTAGGATGGGTCGACTGGACCGCGCACTGTTGTATCTTATCTCCATTAGTCAGAACGGAGTAGTCGAGCCAGTGCGTTAAACTGACGCGGTCCTTTACCAGAATCCGAGGGTCGATACTGGTGTGGAGAAGGGTTGCATGGATGGGATAGTGGTGCGGAGCCGATTGGGGGGCTTGGTCGGGCAAAAACGAGTTCATAAATCGGCTACTTTCTCCTTTAGCGACTGGTTCTCGAACCTGATGGATATGTCGGCTTCCAGCGCGGCCACCTGTCCAAGTTTTGTTGCATAAGGGCGGTCAAAGCCTCCAGTCTGGCCTCGAGGACGTGTTAACATCGTTGGATTGTCAGCCATGGAATATTCCTCCAGTGCAAGGTTTGTCAAGCCGAATGATTGCTAGAGGCCCCACGGTGGGCGCCAAACTGTAGACGTAAAAATCTACCTGTGCGGAAAGGGGGGTCTGCTCCTGGAGGTTGAGGCCACTAGCGATCTGCTGTACCTGCACACGTAGAGAAACACACGCGTGAAGCGAACGGGAAACACCAGGGTGGTGTTTGCGCGGCACTCCGACGCTCAAGTCAGCAAGGCCGAAATGCTAATATAGTGAGGGCTAGGGAATGAGAGATTACCGGAAGTCTAGTCGGGACTGTGACTACGGCGATGAAGCGAAAAACTCAAGTAAAGAGTTTAGGGTGTGAAGGTGTGTGTAATGTCGAGTCCTTGGGAGAGGGCTGGCCTCTGATAATAGTGGTCGTCTGGTCTCCAATCCTGGTGGAAGCAGGAGTCCTGTATGAATCTGATGCAACCCTAGAAGAATCAGGGCCGTAATCAGTATCTTATCAGTGTCGGATAGGAAGTTAATTCTGATTAGGAGAATAACTCCCAAGTGGGAAAGTCATCAGGAAAGGGGAAGGCGACCTTGAATAGGAGATTGATCAAGAATAGGAAAATATTGAAGGGGCTATGGGCCTGGACTCGCCATGGGCCCAGGAAGGGGACTGGGTTAAGAGGCCGCGCCCATGTAGTTTGGGCGGCTATACCTCGTATCAAATAGGGGTAATCCGAATTGGGCCTCTGCAAGACTGGGCCTGGTCATTCTTCACTAGTGATCCTGTTTCCCTATTTGGGCCAAGGACGATTTTGGCCCTAACAGCTGTATGTTTAAGTGTTCATGATTCGGTTTTAATTGAGTTGTGATGTTGAGTTGGTTGAGTGTTTGCTTTGAAACTGGTTGAGTTTTGAGGAATCTTAGAATTGCAGTCATCGCGCGGCAACGTTGGCTTTGAGTAAGGCGGTGTCGACTCTGGAACTTTTCACCGGGGCGACGGAAGTTTCTTCGCCGCGACGACGAGCCAGTTGAGAAGTTAATGAGTTTCTAAAGAATTCTTCATAGGGGTAAAAATGACCTTTCTACCCCTAATTAGTAGGAAAAGTGGGGAATAAAATGTAAGGAAATTAGTAGAGAATGTGTGGAGATAAGGGTGTAATTGCAAAGAATCAAAGGATATAGATGGAATTTCTAAGGAAGAGTAAGGGCAAAATTGGAAATGATAGTTATAATAGAGCTAAAAAGGGTTAAGTGTAGAGAACCCTTCATTTCACCCATTTCCACCGCCATATCCATTCTCTAATTTCTCTCAATCTTCCATTCAATTTTCCTAAGATTTCTAAGGGGTTTAAGAGAGCTTTTGAGTAATTTTGAGTAGAGATTTTATCTAAAGCATCCTAAGGTAAGGATTCTTGCTTTAGATGTGAGTTTGCTTATAGTTATAGTGAAGTCTTATATGGTTGTTATTGTTCTTGTTGTTGTTTTGAGTTGTAAAGAGAAGACAAGACAACGAGGGAAAGGAAAAGTAATAGAGAAGTCATTTTTTCACAAGGTAAGTAAATCCAACCAAGGTGAGATTCAAGAAAGTAAATGAGTAAAGATTTATTTTAATTATGTATATATATATTACACTTACTGAAAAACTGAGATGAGATGTGTGCTTAGTCATAGTTGTTGGATATGCTTAAATTATAAGTGTTTTTGATGTGTGATGAGATAGTGAAATTGAGTTGAAGTTGGAGGAGTTTTGTATGAATATTTTTAGGAATGTTTTCCTTGGAAGAAATTATGACTATATGAGGGAGTTTTCCTCCCATTTTGGATGATTAAAGAGAAGAGTAGAGTTATAGATAAGTAGAGCTTTGGTATGCACATGAGTTGTTTGATAAAATGCCTAAGTGAGAAACTGCCTTGTCATAGTCGTGACTTTCTAAGTGGTTTTTGGGCATTTTATGGATTGAATTGGGTTTAGACCAAAACATCAAAGTTGTAGCCCTATCTCTAAGCTTTAAAACGAGACTAAAACCGTAGCAATCTGATGTGTATAACGAAAGTTATGCCTTTTTTAGTGTGACCTGTGCAGAATAACGATTTTGGAGCAACATTACATTTGTTCATTTCATGAATGCATTAATGAGCATGAATCACCCACATGCACTAATTATGCAATAGAGAAAGAGTAGAGAACTTGGAGTGTGAGCTTTATTAAGAGAAAAGAGAGAAAAAGAGAATAGAGTAGGTTGTGCGATGGAGAACCCGTGAGTAATGGGTAGAGTATTCCCGCATGTACGCCGCATTGAGAGAGCGGCATGCGTATGAGAGAGAGAAGTGGTGTAGCCCGTGAGAGTGCATGCGGATGAGGGCTATACCCGAGAGTACCCGAGAGTACCCGAGAAAGAGATTATTCACTCACATGGCCAAGGGTTCCGAATCCATGCATAACCAAGTCCGATCGGCTAGAATGAGGAGAAGTCACGTAGAGCGGGAGCGAGTCCCGGTCATGCTTCCGGTAAGATGAAGCCGTGACTACTAAAGAGAGTTAGTAGAAAAGAGTTATGAGAAAGAGAAAATAGAAAGAAGTATAAGAGAGAGAGTAAACGAGAGTTGTAAGGAAAGAATTAGAAAGAGAGAGTTACGAGGATAGATGAGTAGAGGATTTACTTACTGAGCATTAGTTGTGCTTACCCCGTGTTTTCCATGTTTTTGCAGGATCTAGGTGAGGACACAGTTGGATTCAGTCGGATGGGCATCGGCGAGCGAAGGGAAATGGCTACACTGTCCACCTTATTTTGATCCTTTGTACATGATATTGTATAAAGAATGTATATGTTTAATAAAAGAAAAATTTGGGCCAACATTTTTATGCTATTTTATATGTATTTTATTATGTACATGTTTTATGAGTATTTAAGTAGAAAGCGGCTATTACAAGGAGGTTGGGCATATAAGAGCTAGGCATAGATTTGAGCTTCATTTCATTATTTTTTTCTCTGTAAACAAAGCTTTCTCCATTCTTTCTACGCCTTACGGGCAATATCATAGAAATAGTCAAAGAATAATAAAATCACAGTGGATGTAGGATTCGCTTTTGAGCATTCGAACCACTATAAAAACCCCTCTTGCCAATCTTTTATTTACGTTTCAGCATCATATTCAAATATCTTGAATTCATCACGTGTAATTTCTAAGTCCGCTTAGCACTTTGCACGAGCGAGTCGTTGGTGTCAAAATCAAGCATCAACAAATGAAATCATCTCCATACACACTCATCTAAACAAACACAAGTTAATGTATTAATGTATTATCCATGGGTCTGAATTAATTAAACAAACACAAGTTACCCACGGGTTGAATAGTGTCAACGATGTCAAAATGTGATGATTTTTGACAGGGCACTTCAAAATGACCAAACGAACAAAACTCATGGAACATAAGGGTCATCAATTTTTAGGGTTGTTTTTGTGAGTTTCTGGATGTTTTGGTACTGTTTTGTGATGATTGTTTAATTTTCGTTTTCTTTGTTTTTTCGGATTAGGATTTTAAGGGAGAACTATTTAAAGGCCATTTCAGCCCTAAGAACGACAGTTTTAATTATTATTATATGTTAATGAAGTATTGAGAAATCTTTGTTGCCTTTTGTTTCTAGCCATCTCTTGATTGTTTCGGCATCAGAACCATTTGAGAAATTTTATTATGAATCCATTGATTATTGTTTGTAGGATAATAAATCTATTTATACTAAACTAATCTTAATGCTATGAGAAATAAGAAAATCTTAACACTACTAGAATAAGGAATTATAAAGTAAGAAAGTAAAGAATAACTAAATTAACCTTCCTAATTTAACTACAATCCTAACATAAATAAACTTCCAAATATAAAGTCTTAATCAAAATTAGAAATTCTAATAACAAAAAGGAAAATAAAAACTAATCCTAATTTAGAAAAATTTGTCCTACATCAACTATAGATTCGAGTCTCCACAGTTGCTAATAGGGATGACCATTAGAGTTCTTATCTGATCGGTAGTTCTAAGGTCCTGAGTGAATGTTGAGGTGCGTGCAAACTAACTCGGAAACCCCCAATCATTAAAAAAAAAAAAAACTACAGAAGCAGAACAAGAGCTAGCGACTGCCAACGAGTAATGGTAATGAGATGAAATTGGGTGATTAGATGCCTGCGAATGCTCGACACTGAGATTCCCAGTACTCCTTTGCCTGCCTAACCCTCTCTTTTCTTTCCATCTTAAGCCGCTTCTCCCAATACTCAGGGCAACTGTTTCATATTCAATTAAATATGATCAAAGAATATTTCAAGAAGTGTACAATAAACACATAAAATTCTTTCATTTATTCCTGTTTCTTCCTTTACGTACACACCAGCTAAAACACAAGCAACCAGGACACCTACTATTGAAAGCTCAAATAAAAAATATGTTAGGTGCGAAAACCAACCTTCGGCCTATTAGAATACTAAGCTCTGTCATGTGTACAACACCTTTATATACTCCTGCCTGAAGTCAAGTATATATATACATTAGTAAACAGAGTAAATGAATAAATTTGCTTCTGACAATACAACCAAATCTTCCGGGTGATGTTATAGCAGTTCACCAAATCATAATACTACTTGAGTTTTCACTTTTTTAAACTATTAGTATAGAAGATACTTAGTAAATGTTTTAAAACCCGGCCGGAGGTAAAACCCGACAAAGTGTCCAAGTCTTGGGTTGAACAATTGAACCGGTTTGACCGGCAGGTCAAACATATGATGTCAGCAGGTAAAAAGGTTTAAAATACAACAAAAACACCCCTAAAAATTACACATAAGTCCTTACAGATTTGAAATCTTGTAAAAACACTCCAAGTTACACCATCGGCGACAACAACCCATGCCAAATAGGGTCTATTTCCGGCATTGACAACACACCCCATCACCACGAAAACTCTTCCCTCAACCTCCTAACCAAAACCCATCTCACCCCACCCCCGTTCACCTCGCCAATCACCTACAACAGCGAGCTGTTGTCGATTTATTTATGCGATTTTTGGTTGATTCAATCATTGGAAACCACCTCTGTCGTCACCTTTCCACTCACCGACCCTTCCTCTTACAAAACCCTCAACATCCCAACTTTTAATTGTTCGCCGATCATCGTCCTAATTTTTAAGGTTTTCAATTAATAGTAAATTGATAACCTAGCCTAGTGAAGGCCTCAGGTCCTAGTTCAACCGGCCGGGTCAGGCCAGGATTTAAAACAGGCTGCATATTTGATTATATTTCGGTTTGTGTTTTTAGATGTGTATGTTACAGGAATGGGTTCAAATAAAAGGAGTACAGGCCCAACCCAATAAAAGGAAGAAGTAAAGAAAGGGAGCTTTGAAGGAAAAATAAAATAAAATAAAAGCGAGAAGAAATGAGCGGGTGACATGGTGTATCGCTGAGCTGTAAAGAAGGAAAGTGAAGTCTACAAATATAGGGGGTAAATTAAAAAAGGGCAGTTAATATTAATAAGAAATATTTTCTCCAAATGTGTTTCTTTTATTTTCCCTCATTTTCGTTTGCTTTCTCTTCAACCAAACATCATAAACTCTCATCTAAATTCTAAAAAAATCTATATTGAACATCTCATGACCTTCATACTCCTTTTTCTCTTTTTTTTTTTTACCTGCAAATTGCATACAACATATACGTAATCCACACAATACTCTTAACATGGTAGCTGTTCTAGCATCATATCTTAGTATATGGATGCTCCAAATCATCAAGTTATGAGAGACTGGATGACAACTTTAAAACCAGCTCCACTTCCCCTCATCACATTAAATAAATAAAATGAAGTGTTACCTGTCGGCAAAGGGGACATTTTTCTTTAGATTCTGCAGACTTTAGCCCATCAACAATGGTGACTGATGCAGCAGAGCAAGCGCACATTTGGCACAATATATGGCCGCATGTCAGAGAAACCGGATCAAACACTGTTTCCTGTTATTGCAGCCAGAAAAAAAAAAAAGAAAAAAAGAAACATAAATAGGCCATAATCCAGCACTGTTATATATAATGAATTTAAGTTTAATGAACTTACCAAACACACCGGACAAGTCAAATCAATATCAAGTTTGACTGCATCAAATAGCTCACAGGAGAGTGATGGTTTTCCGTCACTGAATCTGAGATAGTAAGTTTCAGAGGATTCAGGAAGAGTACTTGAATTGACACTTGTTTCTCTTAAATTAATGTTGAATGCCATAAGCTCACGCAGCCAAGGCGATTGCAGGATTTCAATCTGCATACTTTGAGCTTGTGACTTGAACGCCGTCCCTTGCTTACAACAGTTATGAATCTGTATCTCAAAAAGTTTACTCTAGTATATATTCAATACCCCAATTCAGGATCAGAATATTTAATACAAAATGGGATAAACTATAGCATACCTTATCGTATTTCTTTAGTAACTTTTGAATAGCGATGGCATTGATGAGAGCATAAATAACCAAATCTTTGCCTTCTTCAATTAACGAAACATCAGACTGAGAGCGTCGAAGTTTACCATTAAACCAATTTAAGTACTTGCGAAAGCCGGCAGCCTGATGAAGCTTTAGCAATTTCTGAGCGCGCTCATTGAAGTAGCTTACTACTGCTGACATATCATTGACAAGAGAAGGGAAGAATTTTGCATCGCAAACTACACGTTTTGAAGAAAATTAATTCAATATAAAAAAAATAAAATTAAAAAACAGAAGAACAATCAGAGGAAAAGGAGTAAATATATACCGGGGCAATAGTGAAGACAGCGTTGTATTTCTGGAGCTTCATCACGATGGTAGTCTTCCTGGGAAAGAACGCTTATTCTGCAATTTTTCAATATCTTCTTGAGCTTCTGGCAACCAACTTCAGGAAGTTTTTGTGCTTTTCCGAGCATGTACTCCTGGTATTTTTTGCAGAACTTCATGTTGATCTCAGACTACTCACTTCCAAAAAGGGAAAGAAAATCATTCATTCCTTAGTTTTCTATCTGATATTCATAAACAAATCTTTCACTGACGTCCTCTCTTCTCTACTTCTTTCTACTTCATTGACGAAAAAACTCAAACTGTCATGGCTGAGCAGACTCCAGGGGAAAGTCAACTCCTTGGTGATCAGATCTTCCAATAACTTGCTTGCAAAGTCATAGCTTGTTTGATTTAGTTAGAAAAGCAATAAATATAGAATATTGGTAAACAATTAATGAAGAAAATATTTAGTTAGAAAAGCAATAAATATAGAATATTGGTAAACAATTAATGAAGAAAATTTAGAAGTCGGATCATTTTTTTCTCTTTAATAAATATTTTTTATTTAATCAAACAATTAAAAGTTCATCTTGAATCATAATATTTAATTATCGATGTGAGAGGTAACGATACCTAATTATTTCTGTGGCGCATGATTTTCCGACGACCAAACTCATGCCACTTGTCTATAAATCATATCGAGATTTAGTCGTTAGAATCTTTCCACATGTCGCTTACATAGTAGATGACTTCTCTACCAAACTCACCAGTATTAAGCTTGCGTGTTTATACTTAAACATGGACAGAAACTAACTCAAATCTAGATTAAGAGGGATTATGCGTATAATCCATCCCGTAATACTAATACCAACCTCAATCACTGTCAGGCGTGTACATAAAAGGGAGGTCTCACCTCCATTTTGGGGGGTCAATCAATTATTCATTCAACCAAAAGAAACCACTTAGAGAAAGTCTTAGCTTGTTATTACGTGTTTTCTCTTTATAATCATCTCATGTATACGACAAACATGAGCAATAATATAACAGTGAATGTAAGCTTGATTCTAACTCACCGAACCACTTTAAAAACCTCTTGTGTTCTTGCATTAAGGACACTTCAATCCATTCCTAATTGATTTATTATAATTACGCACACATCCTATCCAATCCTACCGTGGTCAACTGAATATTTCTGATTGTTAAGAGTTTTTGTAAAAACAATTACTCTATTATAACTCATTGGATTTAATAGATGGTGTATGCCATGATATCATGTTTATGCTTTGTTTTGAACCGACTGTTGTTAAATACATATTATTTATTAAATGTAAAATAGTATTAATTTGCTGGGTTGATTTTGTAACATTGAATTTTGTGATTGATGAAGCAATGCCATGTTCTCATTGATTTATATTTCAGAAGTCGTATTTTAATTATAAAATCAGTAGCCCCGTTTAATATTATATTTTTTGCGGAAGGTTGTGAAAATTGTCTAGGTATCTGATGGAGGGAATCAGAATATACCATTTGTAACATGTCATCTTAATATGCCAAAAGCAAATATAATAATCGTCATATGATAATCTATTATATTGATTGATTGTTATTCTATGAAGATGACAATATATAAAACGTAATAAATTTATGGATATAAAATAGATTGACTATATTTTGTGGGGTTTAAATGAAAAAGACCTGCTCTCCATGTCCATGTTAAAAATCATAGATAGATGTATGTTTTGAGCTAAGATATTGAAGTTATTTTGATTTTACCACTTTAATCTACAATTACAGTGTGTTAATACAACCGGAGAAACTGTTTATTATGGTGCAGTTAACACCAATGCAAAAAATAGCGTTTGAATTTGAATTAAGCTACAAATCCTCTCACGGCGGTTTTTGTTGTCATATTTTTTGGACTACAATATGAACATAGGGATTCTGAAGTTAACAATTGAGTAAACTCTCTAATAGTCACATTTGTTAGTAACTGAGGGGAATCAAGCTCATAATCTCTTAAGTAATATACCCAAAAGCCTTATTATCACATCCGACCACCCAGGAGTAGTTAACTACAATATATATGATGTTATTGGCAGCCATTAACGTCAATATGATAGCGCCTGAAGATCCATTGTTTTCTACTCTTGATCCAAACCAAGTAGACGACAGCATGTAGTAATTTAATCTTGTAATTAAACAAATAATATGATATTATATTAATTCACTTATCTAGTAATAACTTATGGAAAATGATAGAGTTACCGAAAAGTTTATACCGAATTTGTGCACCGAGTGACGTGACAAAATCCTGACCGTTGATTAATATTAACTGATAATAAATCAACGGTCAGAATTGTGCCACGTCATTCGGTGCACAAATTCGGTGCACACCCATCGATAACTGTAGCATTACTCATAACTTATTGCTTGATAACTCTTTAAAAATGAATGGTCAATGGCTGACAAGAGAACCATTTGTCAGTAGACTTTAGTAATTTATATATTATTATTATTATTTAAAAATGTTAAAAGTTTCTGTAGAAATTCTTTAGTAGATGCAGTTGTCATCAAATATTGAAATGATCAATACATACTAGTTAGAAGTCAAATTTTGAAAAATAAAAACTAGATAGAGAATTTATTCTATTATAGTGTTCTATCTCCAAACTTAAACTTCTTCGTTCACAAGTTTATTATAAGTTATCTCATTTCTTATTATTTTTGTTCTAGAAATCGCCACCAATATGGTTTTAGATAATTGAACTACAAGAGTTTCATCAAATTTCAATGCACATTATTCTATAAATTTTTTTTTTTTTTTTTGTTTGTGTGTTATTTAAATTGATATCATTCTCCTTTTTCATCGTATCTCTATTATTATACAATGTTTTTATACCTAGATTGGGCCTTGACCCGGTCAAGAGGCCGATCCCCTAGGTTGGGCGGTTTGACCGGTAGGTTGGATCAATGAAGTCAGCATGAAACCTTAGTATAAAACTTAACAGGCATATCCCTAAGTTATTATCATCAATTCCTATAGGTTTGAAATCTAGCAAACACACCCCTATGATTTGGCTAGGAGACGCACAATGTTGCATAGTCGATTAGTGCAGCAAGCGGTGGGCGGTGACCAACGAGCAAACTTAGACTGTGATGAAGGGGGTTTTGGTGTGAAGAAAAAGGTGGTGCTTCTGCCAAGCACTTGAGGCTGTTGATCAACCTGAGGACAGGGAGTTGTGCGAACCAGCATGTGGATGGCGGTCGACAATCGGTGGGTGCACTTGGTTTCAGATGGTAGGGGGTTTATCGTGGAGGTGAAGGTGATGCCAATGGTGGCGTCAAGTGGGTGCAACAACATCATAATCAAGCCAAATGGGGCCTAGAACAAGCAGTCGCGTGATGGGAAAGGGTCACGTGAATGGTGTAGAATGGCCAAATCACGATCAATCATGGCATGGAAAGTACTCAAAAGATGTTAGGGAGGTGTTTTCTGCTGATTTTGATGAAAAATCTAGCGAGAAACAACGAAAATGGTCAATGGTGGCGTTGACACTATAGCAAGGGTATTGCGCAAATTGAGAGAAAATGGTCAGCCAACCTGACGATTGAATCAACGATTCAACACTGTTCTGCAGGATCAACTGGCAAGTCAATTAGGGCCGATGGCTCAAATCAGGTTTAGAGTATCCCCAGACCGGAGAAGGGGTCAATTCATGGTTGGGACGATTGAACTGGTCAGTCCTGTCTGAGTTTTAAACCACTGGTATTATAGAAGTAATGTTATACACCTAGTTAGTAAATTCGCGTTTTATACGGCGGTCGACAATCGGTGGGTGCACTCGGTTTCAGATGGTAGGGGGTTTGTCGTGGAGGTGAAGGTGATGCCAATGGTGGCATCAAGTGGGTGCAACAGCATCATAATCAGGCCAAATGGGGCCTAGAACAAGCAGTCGCGTGATGGGAAAAAGGTCACGTGAATGGTGTAGAACGGCCAAATCACGATCAATCATGGCATGGAAAGTACTCAAACGATGTTAGGGAGGTGTTTTCTGCTGATTTTGATGAAAAATCCAACGAGAAACAATGAAAATGGTCAATGGTGGCGTTGACACTATAGCAAGGGTATTGTGGCAATTGAGAGAAAATGGTCAGCCAACCTGATGATTGAATCAACAATTCAACACTGTTCTGCAGGATCAACTGGCAAGTCAATTAGGGCCGATGGTTCAAATCCGGTTTAGAGTGTCCCTAGACCGGAGAAGGGGTCAATTCATGGTTGGGACGATTGAACTGGCTAGTCCTGTCTGAGTTTTAAAACACTGGTATTATAGAAGTAATGTTATACACCTAGTTAGTAAATTCGCGTTTTATACGTGAATTATACGCCCAACTGTATAATTCGCGTATAAAACGCAAATTCCCGTATTCTATAAGCATAGCCAAATTATACGCGAATTATATGCCTTAGCCGTATAATTCACGTATAATTCGGCCGTATTTTTAAAAATAAAATTTTGTTATTTACTAAACCAAAACGACGTCGTTTTAGGTGAAATTTGATCAAAACGACGTCGTTTTATGCTCAGTCTCTTTTTACCCAAAGCGATGTCAGTCTCTTTTTGGCGCCTCTCCTTCTCTTTTCTGCGACCGCTTCCTCTCTCCTTCTGTTTTTTGGCGCCCTCTTCTTTCTTTTTCTCTTTTTTTGCGCCCTCTTTCTCTCTTTTTCTCTTTTTTGGTGTCTCTACCTCTCCTCCTCCTCAGCTATTCTTCAACAAACACCACTCTTCGTCTTATCTTCTTCTTCTTCAACTTAAAGACAAATAAAATTGTTTGTTTTATTTAATAATTGATCGCTTCTATAATATTTGTAATAATAAACTAAAATATTATAATTAAAAAAGATATAAATCATACATCTATGAGGAAAAATAGAGAATAATTAATTCAATGATCATAAAAAGTACTAAAATCAGGATTAATATTGCCGTATTTTTCAAAACATATTATTGACAGTATACCGTATTAAACTTGTATATACCCGTACCGTATTTTTCCCGTATCTGAATTTTAAGGCCAAATTTTTATAAACGTATTTTCACCGTTTGCCGTATCATTCCCGTAAAATTTCCATACCCTTTTTTTACCGTACCCATATTTACTAACTATAGTTATACATATAAAATTGGGATCTCAACTTTATATCCTAATCTAGTTGTTATTTTAGTCGTCTTACAATAAAGGAGATTTGGCTAAATCAAATACCACACATAGGTAGAGACACAAATTTTGGGATCCTAATGTTGCTCATGTAGAATTATTAATTGTTATTATAATTTAGATTGTAATTAATTTTTAATTTAAATGGTTGTCAGAAAATTTATATTTAAATATTAAAAAAAAACTAAAAAATTTAATAATTGTTAAATAAATAACAAAAACTCAATTCCAACATTTCACCTTAGGCCTCAAATATCCTAGAGCCGGCACTGAATCATGAGGATCTCATGATAGAAAAGAAGTGTTCATCAAATTCAAACAGAAAAGAGTTAATAGGTTGGTTACGTAAAAAACAAGTATCGGCATGAGAATGGATTAGCTCTTTTCCTCTTTTTAAGTTGAGTGAAGGTATGATAGTCAACTTTTCTCTCTTCAGTTTTAAATCCTATCTTACTGGGATTGCACGTATATAAAATTTGGACATTCTTACTCTATTTATTAACAACTTCAGGTTTCTTATGATTTATTTTTGTTGGTTTTTTCTCTCCTTTTTGCTCTTCCAACTCCCTTGCAGTCGTTCATGGCCGATAATATTTCAGCGAATAATATTAACTCAGCAATAGTGTTGCCTGTGGATGATCTTGGTGATCATGCAGCTGCCTCCCAATCCCAAACCAACAGTCACTTCAACATCATCTTTTCTAAACCTTTCATGCAAAAGGTGAGTAGTTCTCTATTTTTTTTTTTTTTTTTGAACAATGATGTGTGGTTAGCTTACTCACACCTCGACTAATTCTCCAGAGCCTTGAAATTTATCTGGACTCTTGAAGTTATTGACTAGATAAACCCTCTAATACCCGGGGAATTCAACTCCCATCGCTCCGCCTGACCACCTAGGGGTGGTGTAATTCTGAAGTCTCATGCAAGTTTTCATATATTTTCTTATATATGGAAGAAATTAAAATTGTTGTTTAATTCATTTGTAGATAATAGCTGAGATGGTGGGCACGTGGTTGTTGATATTTGCGGGATGTGCATCGATGATAGTGAATATAAACAATGATAAAGTGGTAACACTTCCAGGTATAGCATTCGTCTGGGGATTCACTGTCATGGTTTTGATTTATTCCGTCGGCCATATCTCCGGTGCCCATTTCAATCCTGCTGTAACCATTGCTTTCGCCGCCTCCAAGAACTATCCCTGGAAACAGGTGACTCGACTCGATTCCATCTAAATTTTCCTCAAAATTAAGTTTAATATTAATTAAAAGGTTAATTGAGCTTGTAGGTACCAGCTTACATATTTAGTCAAGTGGTTGGATCAACGCTAGCAGCAGGAGCCCTCCGATTAGTATTCAATGGGAAGGAAGATCATTTTGCGGGAACACTTCCAGCTGGTTCATATATGCAGTCATTTGTGATAGAATTCATAAGTACCTTCTACCTGATGTTTGTTATATCCGCCGTCGCCACTGATACCAGAGCTGTCAGTTTCATCTTCTGCAACTTACTGGTTCTTTCGTGTAGTTGATGACTAAACGTATATATTAATTATTCATTCAGGATAAATTAATCAATATGCTCAACAACTTTGATGCAGATAGGCGAACTTGCTGGCCTTGCTATTGGCTCTACCATCCTTGTTGACGTGTTATTTGCCGGGTATGAACTTGCCATCTCAATTTTGAAGCCCTTTTTTTTATTTTTACCCTTTGATTGGACTTATTTATTAATCAAAACCAATGTTTTAATAACTGGGGTGAAACCTGGCAAAGTTGTTGAGTCCGGTGTTCACCGATTTGACCGGTCAAACAAGTGTCAAAAGGTTTAAAATTCACCAAATACATCCCTAAAAATTACGGTTAAGTCCTTATAGGTTTAAAATTTAGCAAACAGACCTCAAATACAAATTGGCGGTCTATTGGTTGGCAGCAACGACATACCAAATGCAATCTCAATCATCCCTTGAACCTATTCCCCATAAAATCTACTCAAGATCTAGCTAAAATTGAACGTCGATATCAACAACCCAGCCTAGATCTCACTACCACCAATGTCGACAACCTCCATATCACCATAAAATACTCCCCTCAGCCACCTGACCAAAACCCATCTCACCCCACCCCCATTCACCTCGCCAATCGCCAACAAAAGCAGGTTGCTACCATCACCGATTTTTTTTCGATTTTCGGTTGATTCACTCACGGGAAATCACCTCAATCGCCACCATTGCATTCATCGACCCCTCATCTTCAAAAGCCCCAATATCCCGACCTTTAATTGTTCACCAATTATCATTCCAACTTCTAAAGCTTCCAATGAATAAGAAAATTGATAACCCGGCCTGATGAAGGCCCTGGATACCAGTTCAACTAGTTTAACCAACCTGGTCAGACCGGGCCAGGCCGGACCGAGTTTTAAAACACTTATCAAAACAACTTATTTAAAACTATACTACAAATGCTCTTGTATCTAGCCAACGGTGCTTAATGTCACTTTAGCCATTAATTGTCTTCAAAAAGATATTAACTGTTTCATATGGGACCAACAAGTTAATTTTTTTTTTTTTTTAAATAAATAAATATGTATGTTTATTAAAAGTGATATTANTCCCTAAAAATTACGGTTAAGTCCCTATAAGTTTAAAATTTAGCAAACACACCTCAAATACAAATTGACGGTCTATTGGTTGACAGCAACGACATACCAAATGCAATCTCAATCATCCCTTGAACCTATTCCCCATAAAATCTACTCAAGATCTAGCTAAAATTGAACGTCGATATCAACAACCCAGCCTAGATCTCACTACCACCAATGTCGACAACCTCCATATCACCATAAAATACTCCCCTCAGCCACCTGACCAAAACCCATCTCACCCCACCCCCATTCACCTCGCCAATCGCCAACAAAAGCAGGTTGCTACCATCACCGATTTTTTTTCGATTTTCGGTTGATTCACTCACGGGAAATCACCTCAATCGCCACCATTGCATTCATCGACCCCTCATCTTCAAAAGCCCCAATATCCCGACCTTTAATTGTTCACCAATTATCATTCCAACTTCTAAAGCTTCCAATGAATAAGAAAATTGATAACCCGGCCTGATGAAGGCCCTGGATACCAGTTCAACTAGTTTAACCAACCTGGTCAGACCGGGCCAGGCCGGACCGAGTTTTAAAACACTTATCAAAACAACTTATTTAAAACTATACTACAAATGCTCCTGTATCTAGCCAACGGTGCTTAATGTCACTTTAGCCATTAATTGTCTTCAAAAAGATATTAACTGTTTCATATGGGACCAACAAGTTAATTTTTTTTTTTTAAATAAATAAATATGTATGTTTATTAAAAGTGATATTAATAAATTATTGGTCATATTATATAATATGGATTAAGAAAGTCAACGCCCTTTGGGGCATGTGAAACAATGATATAAATAGTTAACCTGTTTATTCATGTGTTTGGCAATTGGCAGACCAATAACAGGAGCATCAATGAATCCTGCAAGAAGCTTGGGGCCTGCAATAGTGTCAAAGGAATTCAAAGATTTATGGATATACCTGGTGGCACCAGTACTTGGAGCTGTATCCGGTGCCTGGGTTTACAATATGGTCAGGTTCACGGACAAGCCATCAAAAGAGATCTCTAAGACTGCCTCCTTCCTCAGGAGTCCTGGAAGACATGCCTAGCTCTTAATTCCGACCTAATATGCTTAATATTTGTTAGCTTCAAGACCAAAAATTTAGAGCTCAACACGACTGAGGTGTTTATACCTTGACGTTTTTCAATGTAATATACTCTCAAGTGTCAACAATGCTGTACAACTGAAAAATTGATTCAAAGAAAGACTAGAATACGTCATCACCTCATAAGTCCATAAGTCAACTCTAAATCAAAAACATATGAAAAAAATCTTACAATTTTATTCCACTGAAATTATACTAGACTTCCTCAAGTAATTATTATCCTGGCGTCGAACCATATACTTGAGCGTCTTGTATCTACATTCAGCTTGTACTGAATCTCTCAAGTCAAATACTTGAGTGTCTTGTGTTTATTTTCAACTTACGCTGAATTCTATCACCCAATCAATACCTACAATTGGTAGTATGCTCTTCATAAATAAGAAACTAACCACAGGGAGATGAGGCACTGAGATCAATCATGAGGAAATGCAGCTGCCTTTGCAGATGCAGTACCTGAAATAGCAACAATTATGCACATGAATCTTCAAGAAAAAGTTGTAATAAAAGTTAACTTCAATTTCTGTGTGATAAAGTGGATATATAAAACATCATACTTATAAAGTTTTCGGAAGAACCAATCAGAAAACTAAAATGCAGAGCAAAAATTATGAATCATACACACAACATAAGTATTTGAATATAGAATTTAGAGGATACAATGACTAGTCAGGTTAATTATTTTACTTTAAAGAATTGAAACCAAGATGCAACTGAACTCCACCCAACTCCTATGACACCATGTTGACGAAAATATCAAAATTATATCAACTTCTTACCCATAAACCTCAATCAATACTTGACTTGCTCAACTCCAAAAGGTAGATGAAAAAACCAGGTTTAATTCCCATTGTAGATGGTTCTATTAATTCACCCACCATAGGGACCTTAAAGTGGAAAATCCGTAAACAGGATCAAACCAATTCTAGGAAAACTTCATTGATCTCTTTTGGGGAAAAATTTAGTTGTGATATCTCAATTTCTTGGACAAAAATAAACAATGACAAGTACAAATATGGAACTAAGAAAATACTTGAGAGGGAAAAGACTGGGATAAGAAAATGATTGAGAAAAATAAATTACCTCTCGTTGAAGCAGAGAGGGAACTTTGTCAATTGATACAAGACAACTAAATTGCATGCGTAGCTTCTCTTCTTTAATGCCAGACCATGTTTGTTGAGGCAGGGCCAATAAAAGTATTGTCAAAACATCGCCAGTAGATGGATGCATTCCTTTGCAATTACTCTGACCAAAATCACACAAATTACTCGGATCTATCCGAGATAAAGGAACCAGCGTTTCAATTTTATGTTCAATGCCATCTGTAGTTACAGTCCCTGAAACCACTGTCATAGGCTTGTCATCACCAGATTTTAGAAATGCAACATTTGTTTCATTACAGCATGTTCCATCTGACAAACTAAGCTTTCCAGTTAAAAGTTCTGCTCCTTGGCAACAAATATTAGCTGCTATTTCAGGAAAGGTTTCCTTATAATCCCAAGATGCGACAACTTTACATAATGAAATTTCAGAAGCCAACCATTTGGTCACATGCTTGAATAATTCAGTCTCTTTTATTTGTTTCAGTACCTCTTCCTGGAATACCAAAATTAAGACCTTAAGATCAGAACACTTTATATGTTATTTTTCTTTTCAAGTATAAATATAAAAGAAAACGATAGAGAAGAACAACAGAACACCTTAATAACCAGCCTCCCTGTCTCCTCTTCACTTAAGGTTATACACCCGTCCTCTTGTATCTGAACTTCTCCCACCCACTTGATAAATTCTTTTAGATCAGCAGGTGCTGACTTAAATACAACAGAGAGTAAATTGTCCACATCTTTTAAATCTTCAAATTTCAATCGGAGGGGAATATCTTCCGTTAGGTACTTTGCAACCTTGATCCAACCCTCATTTCTGCAATTCTGCAGAGAACCATAAGTAATATGGAGTTCGATGGAATTTGTTCGCATGTAAAGGTTAGCCGCAACAAAAATGAAAGCAAATTTAAAGGCAATCCATAAGAAAAATTATGCAATGCACTCAGCTTAATTATTATGTAGCTTAATGATATGATGTTACTTTTACCTTCCTTACATTTAGTTCAAGATCTTTCATCCCCTTTATGCTCCACATGTGCTCCACATTCAAGTTACTCAACAAAGTTTGTATGCATTAATTAATAAAGGAAAGTTCAGAATTTTGATATGTAAAATAATTTGACACTGATTGAAGTCCCCAAGCCCTTAGCATTTGTCAAATACAATGAACTTTATTCCAACCATGTTTATATGCCAAAATGGCCATCATGTGGAGGAAAACAAAATATGAATACAGAAAATTTCAATGATTCAATGATGGAGAACTGCCAAAAAAAAACAGTACCAAAATATAGAGAATGGATGGTGCTTTCTGTTGCCTTGACACAATCATGAATCTGGAAAAAAAGAGCAGAAGAATGAATGATAACGGGATGATTTTGAAGGCATAATAACAAAAAAAAAAAATTTATATATTCAAAAGTCTGAAAAGTGAAACATATTATAGAGCAATAAGATTATTAAATGGCCGATATAAAGGGATTGACATGATATTAACAAAATCAGGAAAGTAAAAGTACCCTCTTTGATGTCCTGTGGCTTTATCAATGGTATCCATGGCCTCCCAAAGAAGTGTAAGAGGAACCCAATGGGGAGGATATTTGAATCGAGCAACATCCAGAATAAGAACCATATCTTTTCCAGCATGATATCCCCCAATTGGAGAAAAATGACCGCTTCCCGTCTACAACCAGCAGTAAAATCATATATGGCAATATTCTTGGCCTAATCATTCTAATCAAAGTTCTCAAGTGATTATAATGGTACAATCAAAGATAGATCAACCGTAATTAAGAAAAAAAGATTAAGTCAAGTATTGGACCTGCTTAAAAGTTCCTCTGTGGTACGAGGTGATGACATGGCAATCCTCTGAAGAAGCTGAGGAAATAACAACTCTACGAAACTCATCAATGGAGGTTTCATTTGTTCTAAAGGCTTCAACATTCGCTCCATTACAATAAGCCAAGCAGGCAACTTTACCAAATGTAATCCCCTGGGATTTAATCTTACTTAAGTTTTCACAACAATCTAACATTGTATCATCAAACCATCTCCAAGGCCCTAGAAAAGAAATGATGCAGCTGAATTAATAAAAAACTACTTAAATTCCTAAAATGAAACCCTAAAATAAATAAGAAAATCATATAAAGAAAGGGAAACAAAATCAAATCATAATTTAACAATATTTTTCCTACATCAAGAAATGAAATGAAATGAAAATAAAATAAAAAGGATCCCACTAATTTTATTCACTTAGATTATTAATTAAATATTTTTTATCGTTTACCTTTCCAGGTTCTTCCAGGATCAATGGCGAGGGCATTCAAGACAACAGCAAGAGTGGCAAGTCCGCAATAGGCGGGCTCTGACTGAGTTTGGTAATAAGATATAAGCTTAAAGAAACCTTCCATGGTCCCTCCTTGAAGAGCTTCCGTGAAGAGTTGCTGAAAATTTTCATTGACAAAGATTAAAAAAAAAAAAAATGAAAAAGATAAAAGATCTTTGCAGGCGAGAGAGATTATATTATGTATCTAGTATAGGTAAGTCAAAAAACTAACCTTGCCTTGAGGAGAAGCGAACTCAGTAGCTGGAGGAGAGGGAAGAACTCTTCTGTAAAGACCCGCCATTGCCATTGTTGCTTCTTTCCTTTCCTAATTATACTTCTTAGGATTGTGGAATGAGGAAATCGTGTTGAAGAAACAACAACTTTTCAAAGTCAAGTTTATAACCTTTTCCTCGTGCATTGGTAACAGAGAACAATCAACGAGTCCCCCACCCACAGTCTACGTCAGGGTTTTATAAATACTATTTCCCCCTTTGATTATTTGTTGGTTAGGCAAACCCGTATTTTTGTAAAAACTAGCTAAGGCATCCAATTTTCTAAAACGGTTAACTAAATGCTAGCACCTAAAGGGTAATAAACTAAAATTATATACAGAGTGTACATGGTCTTTATACCAATGTCTCTTTCCCTTTTTTTTTTTTTTTTTTTTTGAACTTCATTTTCTAATCCAACACCAAATTATTTTATTTAGCTCACAGCTGGCTTAAAGGACATTATTGTCTATACAAACAAGGTTGTGTGTTGTTATACAAGTTTGGAGTTGCCGTTAGAAAATTGGGTGTTTTTGTCAGTTTTATAAAATGTGAGTTTGATTTTAGTAAAGGAATAACTGAAGGGGAAATAGTTTTTAAGCCTCTTTACCTATATGGGGGCATTTGGTTCAGGAATGTTAGATTACTGGGAATATTGAATTACTAGAAAGATAGATTACCTTGAAAGATTACTGAGAATCTTTAGAAAAATATGTTTGGTTAGTTGATGGGTATGTTATATTAATATGTTTGGTTATGGGGAATAAATTGGTGGGTATGTTATATTAATATGTTTGGTTATGGGGAATAAATTGGTGGGTATGTTATATTAATATGTTTGGTTATGGGGAATAAATTGGTGGGTATGCTATTTAAATTACTAAATTGTCCCCCTTTTAAATATTAATATAAAATTATTTTTATTATTAATTTTTGAATAATTTTTTAACCCCCAATATTTCAGATTTAGCTAAAACACCCCCACTTATATAAAACTTTAATTTATGATGAAATCACCCCCACCTCCTGCCGCCACCGCGAACCACCGCCGGATGTCCCCGTGAGTACGTCACCGTGACCAAGAGGCTCCGCTATGGCCGTTTTTTGGCCATATTGATGGCCGAAAACGGCCATATCGGGCCAGATCGAGGGATCTGGCCGTTAATATGGCCAAAAACGGCCATAGCGAAGCCTCTCGGAGCCTCCCACAAAATTTCCAGTGTTTTTAGGGACTCCGGCAATTTTCCGGCGGTGGTCCGTGGTGGTTGACCCGCTGTCGGCGGTGGTGGCTGGGTGGCTGTGGTGGTGGTGGCTTGGTGACAGTGGTGGTCTGTAAATTATTTTAAATATAAGGGCATTATTGTCCAAAATTTTAATTAAACAAGGGTAAAATTGAAATAGGATATTAATGTAAATTTGTTTTAAAGTAGGGGTATTATTGTCCAAAATTTTTATTAATAAGGGATAAAATTGTAACAAAAAAAGATAACCCTGGTAATCTCAGAAAACCTAAGAAAATGGAGGTAATCAGATTACCTCTTATATTATCAATAGTAACCACTATTGGTATTTGAAGATTACTGGTATCTTATATTACTTGACAATCAAACGTGCTAATCAAGTAATATAAGATGACATTACCCCAGTAATGCCACTTAACCCCGAACCAAACGGCCCCTATATATTATATTCGGGTAATGCTATAATAATTTGAAATATTAATTAATAGTTATTCGTAAATTATACTTCAATACTTAAAAAAGATGATGAGTTGACTTATAAAATAGGCCGTTAGGTCTTTTCCGTTAAGTTGAGTAGAGCGGGGCTACAAAGGTAATTGATATGTGAATAATATTAAGAAAATAATAATAAAGTTTAAGAAAAAGTAAAAAAAATAAAATGGTTAAAATTCTAACTTGAAAACAAAGATGTACTGTGCTTTTTCAATTAGAGGGAAGCTAAAATAGTATTTTCAATATAAAATTCAACTTGCAACTGAATAGAGTTGGACATCTTTAGGTCTTAGGGGTGGTGTTTAAGTATTTTCTAGACGAGTACCACAAGTTGTGCTTAAGAAAAAGTTAGGGGTAGATCAAAATTATCCCATTTAAATTTGTGGGTATCCTAACCAGATATTTTAATTCCACGTATTATTAATTTATTACTGTAACTTGTATAAAAGAAATGATTTATTTTATTTTATTTTATTGAGAATCATGGGCAAATAAGGGTTTTTCTTGTTTTTATTTAATGTTGTGATTGTGACTTGTGAGTTGTGAGAGCAATAAGCTTATGTCTAACCACGGAGACTGGATGGGAAACGGGTAAAGAAGAATTTAGTCAAGTCACCTTAGTAGTAAATAAGCAAAAGAGGATCTAAAATAGTCTCATAAATTTGAATTTGCACAATCTCTAATAGGATCTAACATGATCTCTAAAGTCCCCACGACTCCTAATAGGGGTAACCATTGAAACTCTTACCCAATTGATAGTTCTAAGGTTTCAATAATTAATTAAAATGCATACAAATTGACTCAAATAATCTGGTTATAAAAAAAAATAAGCGTATCCCAACCATAGTTTCAGACTCATTTTCCCATAAAATAAAGATGCATTACATGGGTAATGGGCTGCCAAAAAAAGAAAAATAATAAATAAAACTGTAATCTTCATCCACTTATTGGCATTGGCAATTATGTTGAAAATAACTTACGATGTAGTTGTATTTAAGTAACAATGCCCGCGCCCCCCCCCCCCCCCCCCCCCCCCCAACAAGAAAAAAATAATAATAATAATAAATAAATAAATAAAATTGGAATCTTCAACCACTTATTGGCAGTGCAGGGATTGCCATTTATGTTGATAATAAGTTAACATATATTTTCTCTATAGAGACCTAAATGAAAAGAGCAGTTTGTATTTAAGTAAGAACAAGACATGTAACTGACAATACAATTTAAAGAATCAATTGTTGTTTCAAGTTTCAACACTTTTTTCCGAGAAAATTTATTACCTACTTTAAGAAAAAACTCTAAATTGTAATAAAATTTGATTTTTCCAATTGAATTCTATGGAAATAAAAAAATTCATAACTATTCAACAATACTTTTACCATTGCAAAAACTAATTTAAAGCACACTCCAAATTTTAAGAAATATTAAATCACCCATGATGATAAATAAATAAATAGACGAGTCTGTAATTCAAACCTCTTATTTCCATTTTGAAATACCAAGCCAAAAGACCCGATTCACCCAGACGGATACCTCTTAACTCTTCATAGTCAGGTTTAGATCTCTGGAAAACGCTTTTTGCTCCTTGATAAAGACATTTCAACCCTGGGGATACANTGACTCAAACACCCTCGATTATAAAAAAATAAGTGTGTATCCCAACTATAGTTTCAGACTACTTCAAGAAAAAACTCTAAATTGTATATAAAATTTGATTTTTCCAATTGAATTCTATGGAAATAAATAAATTCATAACTATTCAACAATACTTTTACCATTGCAGAAACTAATTTAAAGCACACTCCAAATTTTAAGAAATATTAAATCACCCATGATGATAAATAAATAAATAAACGAGTCTGTAAATCAAACCTCTTATTTCCTTTTTGAAATACCAAGCCAAGAGACCCGATTCACCCAGACGGATACCTCTTAACTATTCATAGTCAGGTTTAGATCTCTGGAAAACGCTTTTTGCTCCTTGATAAAGACATTTCAATCCTGGAGATACACCATTTGCTTCCCAGAATATAATCTAGAAAGAAGAGTGGCTTTGTCCAATGCATTTGTGAAATTATATACATTCAGAGGACAAGATAGAATCTGTTCTTTGAATACAACATAGAAGTACCCATTAAAAGAATTTACATAGATAAGGAAGGAGCTACATGTGAGGTGCAGCAAGATCTTCATCTACCTTATTCTCTTGGCATCTCTTGAGAAGGTGGAGCTGCCTCCGCAGATGCAAAACCTGCCAAATCCATATTTGATGATGACAAATCTAGGTTATGGATATTAAAATTCGAGTTGGCATAGCAGCCAAAATAAGAATATAGATGAACTAACATGTACATCAATGCATCAAGATTCAATACAAATCTGACAGATCTAAAACTGCAAATAACAGCAGGCTTCCCACCAACTTCTGCTCCTTCTAACTCAAATGAGGCCGATAGTAATTAACTCATTGCACCCATATTTCTCATAATATATTAAAGTCCCTTGTAGCTCCAACAATGTTTATACTTTCAATAATATAATACACTCTACTTTCAGAAAAGAAATTTTCTTTCTTTTTAAGGATACCACTAATAGAAAATGCAGACTCATTTTATAAAATAGAAGCAAAAGAACAAGAGTAGATCAAGACAATGTAGTTACCTCTTCTTGAAGAAAAGTTGGAAGATTTTCTGTTGAAACAAGGTTATGAATTTCTTGTGAAAGCTTCTCATCCTTTATACCAGACCATGTCTCTGTAGGCAAGGCGAGCAAGAGAACTGTCAAAATATCATTTCCAGCAGGGTACATCCTAATACAATTACTTGAGCTACAGCCACGGTCTTCCATTTGGATTGAAGGAACCAGCACATCAAACCCTTGTTGACTGCTACCATCTGCAACAGTCACCGACACCACAAGAATGGGCTTATCACCATCTGTCTTCAAGCATTGCACACAGGTTTCCCAACAACAAAAACTTTCCGAGGAACCAAACTTTCCTGCCAAAATTTCTGCCCCTTGGCAACACATTATAGCAGCAACATCAGGCAGATCATCTTTATGACCTAAAGATGGCATGTTTCTGCAACAAGAATTTACTGTAGATAAAAATGCCGCAACGTGTTTAAAAAGACTGGTTTTTTGCACTTGTTTTAGCACTTCTTCCTGAAAGCACAAAACATTGGCTTCAAAACTTCTGAAGTATATTAACAAAACTGCATAATTAGTGTCTCACTCAGCAAAAAAAGGGGGCAAAGGGTCACAGTTTCAAGCTCATCAACACCTTAACAGCAAGCCTTCCTTTTTCCTCTTGGCTTAGACTGTTATCACCATCCTCTTGTCTCCGAACTTCTGCAACCCACTTGATAAACTCTCCAAAATTTGATGGCAGTGATGCGAATACAACAGAGAGAACACTATCAATATCCTTAAAGTCCTTTGACTTCACAAGATTAGGAACATCTTCCATTAAACACCTTGCAGTATCAACCCAACTCTCATGTTTACAACTCTGAAAAGCACCAGGTAACGTAATTTTAATCAGCATAACAGTGTAACATGAAAAACTTTAGCTACAGCATTGGATATTTTAGCAATCAAGGTGAAGATGTGAAAGAAGCTCATTCAATCAATCGTAGCACCACTCTACATACAAATGGCTCCAGGAAAGTAATTTTACAAAACTTGGCATCTCAAAACAAAATTACTCAGTCTGCTGTGCATCAATAAAATATCTCATGCCTGCGAGACTGCGATGATGTTCTCAGTTTATTTGGTTCCATGAGAAAAAGAAGCTGTACAAATTCTATTAACGAATTATAGCTATGGAAGTTTTGAACATGATATAAATGATTTAAGGTCGTTCAGAGATGTAGAAAAAATTAGACAGCTTTTACTTTCTGTAATTTTGATCAGTGTGGACTGTAACTCTGATAAACTGAGGTGCAACAACAAAGAGTGACACTCCCCTTTCAAACAAGATAGAAAAGAAATGAAAAGAAGAAAGAAAGGTGTTTGTTGTTGTAAAAGCAAGCAGAAAGACCATGGAAACAAAACAAAACATATATTGACAAAGAAGTGTAACAAAATAAATAAATATATAAAAAAGGAAAAATTTGAAAACTGATTGGGGGGGACAGACAGAGATATTAGAAAAATTATGTAGCATTACACATTCATAGAGAAAGCAAAAGTTTGTGTATCTTGTGTGTATGTGAGTGCATGCACAGCTGAAAATCAGCAATCATACCAGTGTGTAGAGAAGTCCCGGCTCTCTATGAGGTGTAGATATGAGCATGAACCTGAGAAACATCAAATTTCATGAGTGACAAGAATCAAAACTAGAAATTGTAGCCTTTATAAATCAGGTTTAACAACAAAATATACATAAACCTACACAAATTTCTAGAACAATAAATATACCATACAAATGGAAGAAAACAGTGTAATTGAAAAGTGTCTCAAATGCAGTTCACTGCATGCAGAAGTAAAAAGCATTTTGGTAATAAAAAATCTTCAGTTTAGACTAGATCATTAAAACTTAAGAGCAGACTAACTACCCAAAACACACTCTCCTCTGGAGGTTTCCTAATCAGTTTCTTCTAGCTTGTTCGGTTGCATTTATTACTTCCCTGTATTTTAGGATAAATATAATAAAAGCATATGCAAGCACCTACCCTCTGCATTGTCCAGTTTCAATATCAATGCTATCCATGGCTTCCCAAAGAAGTGAAAGTGGAACCCAGTGTGGAGGATACTTAAAACGTGCAACATCTAAAATCAGTGCCATGTCCCTTCCGGCATGATAACCACCAATAGGTGAAAAATGACCTGTTCCCGTCTGCATAACATCTCCATCCAAAATAAAATCAAAACAAGGATGATGGTACCTATCAATTCTTTAACATGCCCAGACTCACACAATTGAAACAACAGAATAATAATTCAAAAACATTGGAAACCATGGAAAGGCTGGCCAATCCATAATAGCAAAAGAAGTTAATACTCTTCTATTTTCTTCCATTGGGTACCAATAACTAGTGAAAATCAGGGAGAAATGAAGTAACTCCAAGCTCATGATCACCTGTTTAAAAATCCCTCTATGGTAAGATGAGATCAGATGACAATCATCAGAAGAAGAGCATCTTATTAAATACTTTCGGAAATCATCAATAGTGCTTTGATTTGTGCAGAAAGCTTCAACTTTTGCACCAGCGCAGTGAGCCAAACAAATAAGTTTCCCAAATGAGATGCCTTTCTCTTTAACCTTTTTCAGAGGTTCGCAACAGTCTAACATAGATTCATCAAACCACCTCCAAGGTCCTACACAGTAAATAGTAACTATCTGAGACAGCCTCAAAGTAAACTAAAATGATGCAAAAATCATCAACTCACACTTATACACACCAAAAAGAAAAACTAAAGACAAAAATAACTCGGATATGATGGCTTCCTAACTTCATCACTACAGAATTTAAGTAACTTATAACAAACATTCTTTCCACTATATGCAAAAGAAGTTAAAATGTTAACCTTCCATTTTCTTCCAGGGTAAATGGCAAGGGCATACAAGACCATGGAAAGGCTGGCCAATCCACAATATGCCGGTTCTGATTGAGTCTGAAAGAAAGAAATCAACCTGTAAAAACCTTCCATTGTTCCACCTTGAATAGCCTCCAAGAAAAGTTGCTGCAAATCCAAAGCATAATTGAAATTCATAAATCATCCAAACATAACAGTAACTCCATTCACCAAAAGGACAAAAATCACACTATCAGAATCCAAACATATGAATCAATTTAAACACTCCACTTATTGATCATATTTACAGCCACACATTTCATTCAATTCAACAACGTACAATTCAATTGCAGAAGAGGAATACCTTTCCTTCCGAGGATGCGAAATCAACTGCAGGAGGAGAAGGAAGGACTCGTCTATAAAAACCGGCCATCGCCATTTCTGTAAACTTTTTTTTGTTTTTTCCGAGTTTTAATAGTTACCTTTGTAATGGCAAATGTACGTTTTGCCTAATTTCTGCGAGTGTTAGGGCATTATTGGGAAACGACGTCACTTCTTCCGCTTCACATTCCAGTTCAGTGACAATCAGGAAACAAGAAACAAATTGAAGGATTAAGGTTAGCTTGTGCTGTGACGATGAAGCTCCCCGCGTAAACTAACGCTTCGAAAATTGACTCCGATAATGATTTCCACGCCACATTCTGGTCGATGTCAACGTGTCGGTAACATATTGACAAGTCAAACTCTGTTCAAGAGGGGTTGCTTTGTAATTTTCTAACTGTTTCCGTTTGTGGTTAGGGATGGCAAAATTTCCTGCAGGACCTCTCTCTTGTGGCCGAGTGCAAGCACTTTATACAGGAAATTGGCTCTAATTCTAAAATGGTCAAGAATCTTTTAATCTTACTCTATGTCGACTTCAAAACAAGCATTAGAAACATTGAGCTTTCACTCTTTAATTTTAAACAAACCCAAATCAGAGAAAGACAGAACAAGACAACCGTAGATCCCTGGCCCATGCTTAAAATCCTTTTAATAACCTGAACATCTCTATGCCACTGTTGTTCCTTCTCAACAGCAAACGTTCACCTCAATTTGATGCTTGAAGCTACTTGAAGCTGCGCTAAAAACAGGCACCTAATGAATGTTGGAAAAATCAGAGGAGGAGGTTAAAGCAGTCAAGCTCCACGCGCTTGCTCAAAGGATATTCGTGATTGTGAGAGATTTTCTGGGAATTTTAGATCATGTTTGTAAACATGGCAACATTAATACTTCTATCACATCAATCAAATTTGTTGACGCTAGATTTTTGGGGCCAATTACTCGTACGTGGGAAACGTTGAGCTGACTTAAGAGACACACGTGATAGATCATGTGATTTGAATATGGTGCTGAGATTATATATGTTGCAGAAAACATAAATAAAAGATTGGTAAGAAGGGGTTTTTATAGTAGTTCGGATACTCAAAAGCGAATCCTACATCCACTGTTGTTTTATTGCTCACTGACTATTTCTATGATATTGCCCGTAAGGCATACAAAGATGGAGAAACACAGTGTTTACAGAGAGAAAGAATATAGCTTAAATCTATGCTTTAGCTCTCATATGCTCAGCCCCCCATTTCGGGAAGAGAAGTGCCAATTTATACACCTAAACACTCAATGTAATGAGTGTTTTGCAAGTTGCCTTAACACATGGAAGGCTCCCATCTGTTCCTCTCTTCAAAGGAGATGGGGTTGGCATGAATATATTTGAGCAGATATGGGTTTGGCAGCTAGTACAAAAAGACATTAAATGAGCTGACATAAGCGTGACTTTTGAGGCATAACAGAAGGCCTCCAGTTTTTGGAGTGCGTAATCGCGCTTCAGAAACTAAGGTCTTTGATCTGAATGGCTGCGTCTCGAACTGAAGAGCTCGAACTATTCCTGGCGCGATCGAATGTTGAGAGCTAGGAGCTGATCGCGATCTATTAGGAGCTCGACCTGAAAGCAAAACGAGCTCAACCTGAGAGCATAACGAGCACATAACGAGCTCGACTTGAGCACATAACGAGCTCGACCTGAACACATAACGAGTTCGACTTGAGAGCACAACGAGCTCAACCTGGGCTCAACCTGAGCATATAACGAGCTCGACCTAAGTGCATAACTAGCTCGACTTGAGTACATAACGAGCTCGACCTGAGAGCACAACGAGCACATAACGAGCTCGACCTGAGCACATAACGAGCTCGACCTGAGCGCATAACGAGCTCGACTTAAGAACACAAGAGATCAGCGATCTCAGCGTGTGATCAGCGATCTGAACACGTGATTTGAAGCTAAAGATCAGTGATCTGAAGTCGAGGATCAGGATGACCTGGGCGTGTGATCTGCGATCTGGCCATGCGATCGGAGAACTCTGACGCGTGCGATCTACGATCTGGCCACGTGATCAGAGAATTCTAACTTGTGCTATCTGCAATCTGGCCACGCGATTAGAGAACTCTGACGCGTGCGATCTGGCCACACGATTGGAGAATTCTGATGCTGGAGATTTGAGCACGCCATCAGGGAACTTGGATGCAGGTTTGAGAATCGAACCTGCATAGGCCACCAAACTGTTGACGCTAGATTTTGGACGCCAATGACTCGCACGTGGGAAACGCTGAGCTAACTCAGGAGACACACGTGATGGATCATGAGATTTGAATATGGTGCTGAGATTATATATGTTGCAGAAAACATAAATAAAAGATTGGCAAGAGGGGGTTTTTATAGTGGTTCGGATGCTCAAAAGCGAATCCTACATCCACTGTTATTTTATTGCTCACTAACTATTTCTATGATATTGCTCGTAAGGCATACAAAGATGGAGAAATACAGTGTTTACAGAGAGAAAGAATTGAGCTTAAATCTATGCTTCAGCTCTCATATGCCCAACCCCCCTCTTCGGGAAGAGAAGTGCCAATTTATACACCTAAACACTCAATGTAATGAGTGTTTTGCAAGTTGCCTTGACACATGGAAGGCTCCCATCCGTTCCTCTCTTCAAAGGAGATAGGGTTGGCGTGAATATCTTTGAACAGATATGGGCTTGGCAGCTAGTACAGAAAGACATTAAATGAGCCGACATAAGCGTGACTTTTGAGGCAGAACAAAATTCAATTACAGAAAATCTATCCGTCACTCATTTTGATTTTGCTGCTTCAATTTTTTCCACTACACATCACAGATTAACACTTCAATTAATAATTTCTAAAAAATTCAATTACAAATACCTCAAAATGAAATATATCTATATCAAATTCCAAGACTGTTACTACTAGAATTACGGCGGCGGCGAGGCTGATTATCATTCTATATATCTGCATCGATATGGAATGGCGGCTGCGATTGTGCCTGATTTGGAGCTGGAGGCTGATTATCAATCAAGTCTCTCCCTACCTTCAACGCCGCATCTTTCAGCTTCGTCCAAGAGTGCTTCGTTAGCTATCCGACTACCAATCCAGCACGAAAAACAACAATTTCATCCGATGCCGTAAAAAATTTGTTCCTCAGCACTTTGAGACATTGAAGCAACACGTCTTCCTCCTCCTTGGCTTCATTGGAAGTCTGGAGCTCGCGGATTCCTCTGGCCTCCAGGGCAGGGAGAAGTTGAAGCATCTCATTTGTGCTTAACGCCATTACTAAGAGAGTGAGAGTTTTTGAAATTTTTGTGACTGAAGAAGAAGATGCTATTTTCTATTTTTTTGAATTAAAATAGTAATGCTTATATACACATATATGCTTATATTGGGCTTTGAATTGGGTTTTGGTTAGCATAGAAAGCCCACTGGAAAATCATTGTAATAAGGCCCATAAGATGTCTATTAATGGCCATTATAGTGTTCCCTGTCTTATTGGATTCAATAAGCACCAAAATGGGCTTCTTCTTCAATTACTCCCTTCTTTTTTTAAATCATTATTATTGTTATTTTTATTAATAAAATCTCTCTCTCTTTTTTTTTATCATTAATATTTTAATTATTCTTGATAAATATTCATTTATTATATGTTATATGACATAAGACGAAATCAAAAGAAATGTCGAAATCCATTTTGTATATTAATAAAAGAAAGATGATAAAGATGTAGACGTAAAAATCTACTTGTGCAGAATGGGGGGTCTGATCCCGTGAGGTTGAGACCACTAGCGATCCACTGCACCTGCACACGTAGAGAAGCAAACGCGTGAAGCGAACGGGAAACATCGGGTTGGTGTTTTTGCTGTAGGCACTCCGACGCTCAAGTCAGCAAGGCTGAAAGAGGCTAGTATAGTGAGGGCTAGGGAGTAGAGAGGTTATCGAAAGTCTAGTCGGGGACTGTGACTACGGCAGTGATATGAAGCTCTCAAGTCAGAGCTTTGGGTGTGAAGGTGTAATGTAATGTCTTCCTTGTGAGAGGGCTGGCCTCTGCTTATATAGTGACTGTCTGATCTCCCAATCCTGGTAGACGTAGGAGTCCTAGTGTGATTTTGATACTACCTTAGAGGAATTAGGGTGGCAGTGACCTGTCTTTCCAGTGTTCAAATAGGAAGGTGATCCTGATCAGGAAAATGACTTCAAGTAGGAAAGTGTTCTGAACGGGAAGGTGACCTCGAATAGGAGATTGTTTAGGAATAGGAAAATATTCTGAGGGGGCCATGGGCTCTACATTCGCCCATGGATCTAGGAAATGGATTGGGATTAGAAGGCTCGTGCCTAGGTGGTTTGGGCCGGCTATATCTTGTACCAAGTGGGCCTAATCCGGATTGGGTCGCATCAGGATTGGGCTTGGCTTCTTCTTCACTGTCAAGCCCGTTTTCCTATTTGGGCCAAGGACGATTTTTGGCCCTAACAGTTTTCCCCTCATTCTCTGAGTTAAGAGTTTCTTAAGTCGGAGAGTAGGAAGCGATCGAGGGGCGCTAGGTCTTCCTTCTTGGACGACCGGTTATTGGTGTAGCTGATCCAATTATTGCAGGTGATCCTTGGTCGGGGGTCGTTTGGTATCCATTACTGATCCGGAGTATGCCATCATTGGAGTGGTGTGCCCGATCGGTGTGAGGGGCCGAAGTGAAAGAGACAACCAGGCTTGGGGGGTTCACGCGCTCGTTCGGTACAACCGGCCTACTAGAGAGGTGAGCCGAAGTACTATAGTCGGGGTGTTCGCTTGGCATGCCAAGTCGACTGAGTTAAGGACCATATCGAATTGGAGGTTTGCTCGGTCGAAGTACATGGGTGACCGAGTGGATGTAAAGTGCAGGTCTCGACCAGGGGTTGACTACTCGTCCGTTGTGAAAGAACTAATGAGCGGGGCATCCTGGCTTGGTCGTCTGGAGAAAGAGCACGGGTCAGGTCGTTCGAAGCTGATCAGCCAGTCGGGAGGATCTCTTGGGCTTGCAAAGATTGGATGCACGTTGGGCCTATTTCGGAAGGCATGAGCTGAGTCAGTCGGGAGGATAGACGATTGAGCCGCAGCTTCCGTACTAGGCTATGGTTTCCTAGGTGCTCTGGATCGCTGCCACGTGTACGGTGGCGATCGATCCATCGTTTCGAGAGACCACCAGCTAATCGCGAATTGCCACGTGTCTGCTTTTTTCTTATAAAACTGTTCGTCTTCCATTTACGTTTTCCTTCTATTTTCCTAAAAAAAATTCTTTCCTTTTTCTTCCTTCTTTTTCGTTCCAGTTTCTTGAGCGACAGTGGTCTTTCTTTTTGCACTCTTTCAAGGTAAACATTCTTCTTTTTGGGCTGATTTTCTACTTTGTTTTGGTTATCTGTTGAATCCTTGGAAGGTAGAATGAAGTTTTTGAACTTTTGAGTGGGTTTTAATTGGATTTCGAAGTGTTTTGGAATTAGGATTCTTAGAATAGGCATAGATTTGGATTTTTCGGTGGATGTCCGGCAAGAATCCAGCAGTTTTGGGTATTTTTTGGATTTTTGGACGAGATCGGGAAGACGAAGTCGAGTTAAGTATTGTTTGGTTCGGTCGGCCTGTCTTACTGAGTGGTGAGGGAGCGTGCAGAGTGGATTGAATAGTTGGTCAGTCATCCAGACCAAGTGGGTGATTTTGAGTTGGTGAATCGGTGAGCAAAGGCGAGTAGATTTAGTGCTGAATTCAGAGGTGAGTCGACCACTTGGGGCGAGCGAAGAAAGACTTGAATCTAGGACTGGGTCAGTCGGCAGGAAGGGTCGATCAGGGTTTAAGAGTGAACTTGTTGCCGAGTAGGTCGATTCGTGCTGAGGGACGAGTAATAGCTGGGTGGTTGTGGCCTTATTCAGCCAGGTGGTCAGGGCGAGCAGCAGCTTGACACTTAGGTTCCTGGGAGTTTTTGAAGATTGAATCGGGTCAGTCGGTCGGTCTGGCTAGGCGATCGGGCCAACGAGTCAGATTCTGACTCGGGTAGCTCGAGCAGGATTGTGGCTGATGAGTATGAGTGTGCCCCCACTATAGTGATGATGCCCGAGGGGGTTGTTCCGATGGGCATTCCGACTGGAGTTAGTGTAACTACCCCAAGGACGAGTGAGGCTGGCCCGAGTGGTTCGGGTAGGCATGAGAGAAGTGGGGAAGACTCCGAAGGGGCTGGTAGTCTATCCTCGTCCAATAGTAGCTCTAAGGAGGAGCCGAGTCAACAGGACAGTGGGATTTTGACGAGAGATTATCCGCCCGTGCTGAAGGAAAGTGACGTGTGGCGTATCCAGACATTGTACCACATCCCGAATTCGATTGATATCCGGACGTCATGGTCGTACGAACGGGTCAACTGGGAGGCACAGGGCTGGTTAGTGTTTATGAGAAGTGGTTTAACGATGGGTTGAGGCTACCTGTCCCTTGCTTTGTCTGGGAGGTGTCGAACCACTTCATGATTTCCCTATCTCAGCTCATGCCAAATGCTTAGAGACTGCTAATGGCTTTGGAGGACCTCTGTGTTTGGAACAAAGTGAGGTTCGGGCTACACGAGCTATTGTACTCGTACTTCCTGAAGGAGAATGATAAAGAGAAAGGTCGGTATCTACTGAACTTGAGGCATGATCGGTCTTATCTGGTAACCGACCTACGGTCCAGTGATAAGAACGGGAAGGACCGATACTTCTTCCTGAGGGTCAGGCTGTCTTTGGAGAGAGGGGGTAAGGCGAGATCCCGAGCGGCTGGCGAGCTACTGGTGAGAACTTAGTTGTTTCTTTTGTACTTTGATTACTAAATCTTGATTGTGTTTTTTGTTTGCAGAGCTTGAGTACAATCGGCTGGGCAGAGCGGGGACAGCTTGGACGTTGCAACTCAGAAGGTGTTAGTTATCCCGTCGAAGCAAAGGGACTGGCAAGTAGTGCTAGCAGAGTCCAACCTAAGGATTAGCATTCTTTGGGCCGGAGTAGAGGCGATCTAGCGAGGTACTTATTTCCCCTCGCTGAAGCAGACTTAGGATGTTCTTCTGAGTCGATACTGCAATCATATCATTTTCGGTGAGTCCGAGCTGAACCCACTAACCGTTAGAGAGTTTGCACTTGCAGAATCACTGATGAAGAAGTTAACCGTCCCGAGTGCGAGCGAGTCCATCGCCCGGCGTCGGGAGAAGAAGAGGAGGGAGTCCTTGGCCAGGGAGGACAAGAGAGCAGAAGATGTGTTAGCGGCGCTGTCGAGTCAGTAGCCTCTAGCCGGAGCTGGGTCGTCCCATACCGCAGTCATGGATGAGGAGGCCAAGACGATTACATTCACGGTTCCGGCGACTGCATCAACTTACTCTGATGCCACTACCATGAGTAAGCTGGCCGACTCTTTTTTGTTTCTAGCGGATGAGGCGCATCTGAACCAGATGCGTGCAGTTGCTACGGCTGATTGGGGGGTATCCCACGCCGTTTAGGTATGATAGTAGTATTCAATTTTTCTTGTTCCTGAATTTTGTTTTGATGGCAATGTTTTGTTGTGCAAGTACTCACTAGCAGTCTTCATTTGAGAAAGTCTGTTGTGGTGCAGGAGAAACGGATACATGATGTATCCAAGGCCAACACCAGCTTGCGCCAAAGGGAGGCAGCAGCCCGGAAGGCTGAGCAGGAGAGTTAGCAGCTTCTGAGGGATAGCGAGCGTGAGCTTGAGAGGTTGAGGCGTGAGTTGGCCAAGAAGACCGTAGAGATCGAGTCTCTCAGAGATCAGTGTATTTTTATTACCGATGACGCCATCATTAAGGCCCAGGGTGAACTCATGCTTGAGTTCAAGGAGGGGAGGACCTCTTCTAAGGACCCAGACGAGGATATCCAGCTCATGCGGGAGCTGTTGGAAGAGAGAGATGGTCACCCAAAGGGGCCAATTGATGAGCAGATGGTTGACCTCGCTTGTCAGCTAGGACCGTCAGGTGCTAGGGATGTGAGTGACCAGGCTGTCGGGATGGCTGCTGGTGGTGCGGGAAGGACGACCGAGTCGGAGATTGAGGAGACGACTCGTACCGGGGATCCTTAGCTTTTTTCTTTGTTTATGCATTTTGGGGCCTGCGATGCCCTTTTGCCTGACGTGTGTGCCATTTTTGTATTCCGAACTGAGTCGTTTGATGCTATATATATTATACTTGGCTATTTTGAATTCTGATACTGTCTTCATGGATGAGTGAGTTGTTCATTGTTTCTTTACTTGCAGATGCACTATGTCATGTTTGTTACTTTAGAGTGGCCCAATGGCTGAGGCACATAGGTCTTATGTTGGGCTAGGCTGGTGCTTTGCTTATTAAAGGTGTAAGGACCATTCATTCGGTCTGGTCGACCGAGTACGTAGTCCCCTGGATTGAATGAAGTCAATCCGAAGGTGTCAGTTCTTGGGTCGGACCGAGCCAACTGGGTGGTGTGAGTCATAAATCGAGCTAAGCCTATTTTATGGTGTAACATCATAGATCGAGTGGGGCCGACTGAAGGTCTTTACATAGGCCGAGTTGGGTTGACTCGAAGGTGCTTTCATGAACCGATCGGGGTCGATTCAAAGGTGTTTTCCTTAACCGGTCAGGGTCGATTCAAAGGTGTTAGTTCGTGGATCGGGCAAGGCTGATCTGAGGGCGTTATCGTGAATCAAGTAGGGTCCATTCAAAGGTGTATTTACGTGGATCGAGTAGGACCGATCTAAAGGTGTTATTGTGAATCGAGCGGGGTCGATTTGAAGGTACAAGTACGTGGATCGAGCAGGACCGATCCGAAGGTGTAATCGTGAATCGAGCAAGGTCGATTCGATGGTGCAAGTATGTGGATCGGGCAAGGCCGATCTGAAGGTGTTATCGTAAATCGAGCAGGGTCGATTCGAAGGTACAAGTACGTGGATTGGACAGGGCCGATCCGAAGGTGTAATCGTGAATCGAGCAGGGTCGATTCGATGGTGCAAGTACGTGGATTGGGCAAGGCCGATCTGAAGGTGTTATCATGAATCGAGTAGGGTCGATTCGAAGGTGCAAGTACGTGAATCGGGCAGGGCCGATTCGAAGGTGTCACAAACAATCGATCGACCAGAGTCAATTTTAAGACGTAAGTTCTTGAATAATACTTCATTAATATTTGGCCGTGAGGCCGACTGTCTAAGAGGAGGTGGATAGGCCCACTCATCCTTTTTAAAATGATAAAGGAAAAACAAAAAAAAGACAAGTTCACCTAGAAGTAGTATCGTTTGAGGTGAACGGCATTCCAACTGTTATTAATGTCTTTGCCCTCGGGGGTCTAGAGTTTGTAGGTGTCTTTCCCTACTTCTTTGGTTATCTTGTAGGGGCCTTCTCAGGTGGGGCCGAGTTTGTCATAGTTAATCTCCTTGGTGTTTTGAAAGACCCTGCGAAGGACCCAATCGCCTATCTTGAAAGTTCGAATCCTCACGTTGCGGTTGTAATGTCGGGTGGCCTGTTGTTGATAGACTATGTTGCGGATGCTCACCCGTTCGTGTAGCTTGTCGACAGTGTCCAGGTTCTGGCATAGGTTGTGGCTGTTTGATTCCTCGTCTGCCCATTGGAGCCTAGTGGATGGGACTGATACTTCGACTGGGATGACTGCTTCAGAGCCATATGTGAGGGAAAACAGGGTCTCACCCGTTGATGAGCGAGCCGTGGTTCGGTGTGACCAGAGGACTCCAGGTAGCTCGTCTACCCATGCACCCTTAGCTTTCTGTAATCGCTTTTTTAGTGTATGAATGATGGTCTTGTTTAATGACTCAGCCTGGCTGTTAGACTGGGGGTTGCGGGGGGTTGAGAAGCTCAGTTTTATTCCCCACATGTCACAGAAATTCTTGAATCCTAAGCTGATGAACTGGGATCCATTATCGGTAACGATCTTCTTCGGTATCCCGAACCTGCAGATGACATTCTTCCAGATGAAAGCCTTTACCTCTCGATCTTTGATCGTGCGAAGGCTTTAGCTTCGATCCACTTGGTAAAGTAGTCTGTCACAGCTAACATGAAGACTCGTTACCCGGGTGCAGTAGGTAGCTTTCCCACGATGTCCATTCCCCACTTCATGAAAGGCTAGGGTGTGAGGATGGAGTGGAGTCGCTCTGGTAGGAGGTGTGAGACATGGGCAAACCTTTGACAGTTGTCGCACTTCTTCACATAAGCGGTCGAATCGGTGCGTATGGTTGACCAATAATATCCAGCAGTGATCACCCTGTGTGCAAGGCTGCGTCCCCCAGCATGGTTCCCGTATTCACCATCATGGAGTTCAGCTAGAACAGTTTGGGCCTCCTCTGATTTATGCACTTGAGATAGGGGCCCGAGAATGACTTTCTAAGGAGTTGGCCCCCATGTATGGTAAATCTAGCGGCTCTTCTTTCAGTCGGCGTGCTTCGTTCTTGTCAGCTTGGAGTTCATCGTTTTCCAGGTATCTCACTATCGGAGTCATCCAGTAATTAGCTTGTTCGACGCCCATGGCTTCTACGGGGGGCTTGTTCAGTGGTTGCTCCTTCCAGTTGGCTGGCCACTATATGAATAAGAGAGAAATGGATGACTGGGAGGAACATGGGAGTGCCGAGCTAAGGCTGGCAAGGGCGTCAGCGTGATAGTTCTCAGCTCTGGGAATTTGGACGATGGAGAACTCTTCGAATTGGGCCTGCAGCTCTTTGACCATGCTCAAGTAGGATGTCATCTTTGAGTCGCGTGCTTGATACATACCTTGTAGTTGATTGACCACGAGCTGGGAATTAGACTTCACTTCCAGTCTCTTTGCACCAATTTCTCTGGCCAAGGAAAGTCCGGCGATGAGGGCTTCATATTCGGCCTTGTTGTTCGTACACTTGAACCCACACCGGATTGCTCGCTGGACGATGTCTCCCTCTGGTGCAATCAGTACTATTCCAAGTCCGCTTCCATTCACATTACTCGATCCATCCACTAGGAGAGTCCATTTGGAGGGTGGTGCGCTGTTCATGCATAATAATTCCCTTTCAGCTTGGGTGGTGGTGCTTGGTGTGAAGTCAGCAACGAAGTCTGCTAGTGCCTGGGACTTGACGGCGGTACGAGGTTGGTAGGATATGTCGAACTTACTGAGCTCTACTGTCCACTGCATGAGTCGGCCTGATAGTTCTGGTTAGTGCAATATCCTTTTGAGTGGGAATGAGGTGAGTACCACTATGGGGTGGCATTGAAAATACGGCCTTAGCCTTCTGGATGCATGGATAAGGGCGAAGGCCAGTTTTTCCAGCTGACTATACCGCGTTTCTGCGTCGAGGAGTGACTTGCTCACATAGTAGACCGGTAACTGCTTCGTTTCTTCTTCCCGAACTAGTACTGCTAAGATGGCTATCTTTAAGACCGTTGGGTAAGAGTAGAGCTTCTCCTCGTCCATAGGTTTGGAAAGGAGCGGAGGGGAGGGGAGGTCAAGTACCTTTTCAGTTGCTACAAGGCTTCTTCGTAGGAAGGGGTCCACTCGAACTTCTCGGACTTCTTGAGAGCATGGAAGAAGCGGTGGCATTTGTCGGCTGATCTGGAGATGAAGCGGCTCAAGGCGACCACCCATCCTGCCAGGCGTTGGACGTCTTTGATGCAGGTCGGAGATGGTATATTGAGGATGGCTTCGATCTGGTTAGGGTTGGCTTCAATCCCTCGCTGAGTCACCATATAGCCCAAGAATTTACCTGACGAGATGCCGAATGAGCATTTGTCTGGATTTAGCTTCATGTTGTACTTCCTAAGGATGACGAATGCCTGGCTGAGGTGGTCAAGGTGTTGTTCAACCATTAGGGACTTGACGAGCATGTCGTCGATGTAACATCTTGTTGACTAGCCGCTGATAGGTGGCCCCAACGTTCTTGAGGCCGAATGGCATTACCTTGTAGCAGTTGGTTCCCCTCTCTGTGATGAAGGCTGTCTTCTCTTGGTCGTTCGGGTGCATCAAGATCTGGTTGTACCCTGAGAAGGCGTCCATGAAACTAAGAAGCTCGTGGCCTGCGGTCGTATCAACCATCATGTCGATATGTGGGAGCGGGAAGGAATCCTTGGGGCAGGCCTTGTTCAAGTCAGTGAAGTCGATGCAGACTCTTCACTTTCTGTTCTTTTTCTTCACGACCACGACGTTCGCCAGCCATTCAGGGTAGTGGACCTCTCTGATCATGCCATTGCTTAGGAGCTTTTCAATCTCTTCATTGATGATCTGGTTCTGCTCTAGTGCAAATTTCTTTCTTCTCTGCTTCACTGGTAGGTGATCTGGATCTACCTTGAGCTGGTGGACCATTGTGTCTGGACTGATTCCGGTCATGTCGGCGTGGGACTATGCGAAGCAGTCTTGGTTGACTGGGTTGGCCATTGCATTCGCCCTTTGTACATTCTGTTGGGTCACCCCTCGCGGGGTAGTCTAATGAGTCATTCCTTCATTCGCTCCCTGGTAACACGGATCTTCATTCATTCCTTTCGGTTGGATGGCTCCCATGGTAACTGTTCTGGTGTTTCGCCCTACATGAATGGTCAGGGGAGTCGTCTGGTAGTCATTCGGTCCATTAGGATGGATAGGCTCGGGTGTTGTGGTTTGCTTGGTCTGGCCGCTCAACCCGTGAGGATGAGCCGAGCCGAATGGAGTATATGTTGGGATGGTTGACTGGAGGTAAGGTAGGATAGCAAGGTTGGGCTGGTCTTGTGGATGCGGGCTTTTCTGTTGCTGGATCATCTTGATCTTGACGCTAGGATGGATCGGCTGAATGATGTTCTATTGGCATATCTTTATCTCCATGAGTCAGGACAGAATCGTCAATCGTTGATGAGCTTAATGGATGCGGTTTATTACCGGAGACTAAGGGTCGGTGCTCTAGTGTGTGGAGAGGTTGGGGGTTACCTAGCCTGGCAGTAACTCCAGATTATAAAATTGACTCACCTTCTCTTTAAGAGACTAGTTTTCTGCCCTGATGGATGCATTTTTAGTCTGGATTGCATTGTTCTCAGCTTCCAGTGCGGCCACTTTATCCGAGTTTTGTTGCATGAGAGCGGTCAGAGCCTTCAGTCTGGCCTCGAGGCCTTGGTTAGCGTTGTCTGAGTTGTCAGCCATGGAATGTTCTTCTACGTAGCAAGGTTCATCGAGCCAAATGATTGCTAGAGGCCCTACGGTGGGCGCCAAACTATAAACATAAAAATCTACCTGTGCGGAAGGGGGGTCTGATCCCATGAGGTTGAGGCCACTAGCGATTTGCTACACCTGCACACGTAGAGAAACAAACGCGTGAAGCGAACGGGAAACACCAGGTTGGTGTTTGCCGTAGGCACTCCGACACTCAAGTTAGCAAAGCTGAAAGAGGCTAATATAGTGAGGGCTAGGGAGTAGAGAGGTTACCGGAAGTCTAGTTGGGGACTGTGACTATGACAGTGATATGAAGCTCTCAAGTCAGAGCTTTGGGTGTGAAGGTGTAATGTAATGTCTCCCTTGTGAGAGGGCTGACCTCTGCTTATATGGTGACTGTCTGATCTCCCAATCCTAGTAGAAGTAGGAGTCCTAGTGTGATTCTAATACAACCCTAGAGGAATTAGGGCGGCGGTGACCTGTCTTTCCAGTGTTCAAATAGGAAGGTGATCCTAATCAGGAAAATGACTTCAAGTAGGAAAGTGTTCTGAACGGGAAGGTGACCTCGAATAAGAGATTGTTTAGGAATAGGAAAATATTCTGAAGGGGTCGTGGGCACTGCATTCGCCCATGGATCTAGGAAATGGATTGGGATTAGGAGGCTCGTGCCCAGGTGGTTTGGGCCAGTTGTATCTTGTACCAAGTGGGCCTAACCCGGATTGGGTCGCATCAGGATTGGGCTTGGCTTCTTCTTCATTGTCAAGCTTGTTTTCCTATTTGGGCCAAGGACAATTTTTGGCCCTAACAAAAGACATACTTTTTCTTCTAAATACAATCATGATCAAATTGTCAATTGATTTTCTCTTCAAAGATTTCTCTCTAGTTTTCAGTTGATGATAAAGAATTCTTCTCTATAAAGTTGAGATTTTTATTTACATAAATATCACTAAATTTTGAGTTGATTATGAGGAATTCTTCTTTGTAATTTTACTTCTTAATTATGATGAGTATTGATGGAGCAAATTTACGTATGAGATTTAACAAGGGTTTAAGAGAATCCATACTTCAGAAAATCAGAGAGTAAAAGCTACCAGAAGAGGAATGATTGGGAGCTTTCCATGTGTCAAGGCAACTTGCAAAACACCATACTTAAGTGTTTAGGTGTATAAATTGCACGTTCTCTTCCGAAGAGGGGGCTAGGCTAATGGGAGTAAAACATAGATTTAAGCTCATTCTTATCTCTCGTAAACACTGTATTTCTTCATTTTTGTATCCTTACGGGCAATATCATAGAAATAGTCAGTGAGCAATAAATAATAGTGGATGTAGGATTTGCTTTTGAGCATCCGAACCCACTAAAAACCCTCTCTTGTTAGCCTATTATTTATGTTTTCTGCACATATAATCTCAGCTCCATATTCAAATCTCATGGATCCATCACGTGTGATTCCTAAGTCCGCTTAGCGTTTTCTCACACATGCGAGTGTTGGCGTCCAACATCAAGCGCCAATAGTTTGGTGGCCCATGCAGGTCCGATTCTCAAACTGTGTCCAGTTCCCTGATGGCGTGCTCAGATCTCAAACCTGCATCAGAATTCTCCAATCGCGTGCCAGATCGTAGATCGCACGTGTCAGAGTTCTTCGATCTTGTGGCCAGGTCATAGATCGCACGCATCAGAGCTCTTCAATCACGTGGCCAGATCGCTGATCGCATGTGTCAGAGCTCCGATCGCGTGGCCAGATCGCAGTTCCACAGGTTAGAGTTCTCGATCGAATGGCCATCGCTAATTGCACACTTAATCGCGCGCTCAAGATCGTTGAGATCTCGCGTACGCGTTACTCAGCACTCATCGACTCTGGGAGCGGCATCGCGGCAGCATCCTGCTTAGCACGCTTAGGTCTCCGATCCTCGGCTCGTCGATGTTTATAGATTCAAATCGCTTGTTCAGATCGCTGATCACTGCTGAGATCGCGTGTCTGCTTGCTCTTAAGTGAGCTCGTTATGTGCTCGTTAGCGCTTAGGTCGAGCTTGTTATGTGCTCAGGACGAGGTCAGGTTGAGCTGTTATGCTCTCAGGTTGAGCTCGTTATACTCTCAGGTCGAGTCATTATACGCTCAGGTCGAGCTCGTTATTGTTCGTTATGCGCTCAGGTCGAACTCGTTATGTGCTCGTTATGTGCTTGGTTGAGCTCGTTATGTGCTCGTTATGCTCTCATGTTTGTAAACATGGCACATTAATACTTTTATCCACTCTTCAATCATTACAGAAAATCTTCCGTGACTCATCTTGCTCTCTCAATTTTTTCCACTACACACAGATTCACCTTCAATTACTATTTTCTATTCATTCATCCTCATTCATATCTATTCAAATTCCAGACGTTCTACTAGATATACGGCGGCGGTGAGGCTGTTTCTCTTACTTATCTCTGCATCGATATGGAATGGCGCTGTGGCTGTGCCTGTTGGTCAGAGGCTGTGCCTGATTTGAAGCCGAAGGTCTGATTATCATCAGTCTTTCTCTACCTCAACATCGCATCTTTCAGCTTTGCCCAAGAGTGCTTCGTCAGCGATCCGATGCAATCCAGTACAAAACAACAATTTCATCCGACGTCGCAAAAATCTGTTTGAGACTTGAAGCACAAGTCTTGCTCCTCCTCGCTTCATCGGAAGCTGGAGCTCGCGATTCCTCTGGCCTCCAAGGCAGGAGAAGTTGAAGCATCTCATTTGTGCTTAACGCCATTACTAAGAGAGTGAGAGTTTTTGAAATTTTCGATAGAAGAAGAAGATGCTGTTTTCTGTTTTTTGAATTAAAATAGTAATGCTTAATACACTATTGCTTCGATTGGGCTTTGAATTGGGCTTTGTTAGCATAAAAGCCCACTGGAAAATCATTGTATAGGCCCATAAGATGTCTATTAATGGCCATTATAGTGTTCCCTGTCTTATGGTGTTCAATAAGCACAAATGGCTTCTTCTTCAATTACTCCTTTTTTTTTTTAAATCATTATTATTGTTATTTTTATTATATCTCCCTTTTTTTTAATCATAATATTTTAATTATTCTCGATATATCATTTATTATATGTTATAGACATAAGACGAATGAAAAGAAATGTCGAAATCCATTTTGTATATCAATGGAGCTCGTTATGTGCTCGTTATGCACTCAGGTCGAGCTCGTTATGTGCTCGGACAGATCAAGTTGAGCTCGTTATCTTCTCAGGTCGAGCTCTTATGCGCTCAGGTCGAGCTCATTATGTGCTCGTTATGCCTCAGTTGAGCTTGTTATGCTCTCATGTTGTAACATGGTAACATTAATACTTTTATCACATCATTCAAATTCAATTAAGAATCTATCTGTACTCTTCTCGCTGCTTCAATTTTTTCCACTACAATCACAGATTAACACTTCTTACTATTTCTAAAAATTCAATTACAAATACCTCAAATGAATATTCTAATCAAATTCCA